ATCAGTTCCATCCGCAATGGACTATAATCTATCGATAACCTTGAAGCAATCTGTACATTCTTTACCCATCTCTCTTAACCAATAACCTCGAAAAATCTGCTTGAAGATCTACCATTGAAGATTGCACCAAAGAACTCTTAGGTCTTGCTTCTCCCACAGACTCAGAAACAAATTCTTGTAAAACTTCCTTAACCTCCTTCTTCTGTTGTTCCTTTTCCTTGCGTTTATATGCTGCCCGAGTCATTCTCTGCTCCTTCATCTCCACTTGTTGAGACCCCTCAGTCTGTGATTTTCCAACTTTCATTAATACAGCTTCTTCAGACTGCAGTTCTACCTTCTTCTCTTCCAAGACTTTAAACATTATAGGTGACGATGAGCATGCTCCCAGGACCGAAGTATAAAACTCCTTTGCTTTAAAAACAGTATTAAGTCTATAACGTGTTCCTGCATAGCTCACCACTATTCCAATCGGGATATCCCATCTGCCTCTTTTTAAGTTCATCTGCTAAAAAAGCAAACTCCTTTCTTCTTCTTAAAATTTTAGATGGAATCTCCTTTAAAATTATAACATCTTGTGCAGCAATCTGAAACCTCTTATTGTAAAAAACTTGTATAATTTCATTGCGTAGGGATCTTTTCCCAAAGTAAATTACCACATCTCTTGGCAGATTTCTTTGCTTTGCAACCCAAGAGTTAACTCTAAATATTTTTTCAATTTCTCTGAATATTTTCTCTTTTTCTCTATCCAAAATCACAGCAAAATCATTTGCAACCATCTCTCTCAGAGCTCCTTGCAGATGTTCTCTCAAGCCTCTGATTCTTAAAGCGAATTCCATCTCTCTATATTGAAACATAAGAATCTCATCTTGAAAATTTTCCATCTTTTTTTCCATGCCATCAGATTTTCCCTCCAACACTTCCACTTTATCTGCAACTTCTTCAACACGAAAATCCAACTTTTCAACAACAGAGGCAAGTCCTTTTAAAGCCAAAACTATATCTTGCCTCAAGATCCTGTTATTTTCCACTAAAATCTCTTTCACTTCTCCCCTAATTTGAGATATAGCATTTCCCATTACATCTTGCAAATCTTTTACCGTTAGTGACTGTGCAGGAGAAGAGGGTAATAATGTTGATTTAGGTTGTTGCACTGGTAATATCATCGAAGAAGAAACCACCTTAGGAATTGTAGAAATTACTGGGCGTTTTGAAGCCATCTTAAAAGAAAAAAATTTTTTTTCCTCTTTCCTCTTCTTAAAAAATACAAAAAAAGAAAAAAAGAATTAAACAAAAGAGAGGGAGATTAACTCAAAAAACCCAAATCCTCCTTCAAAAAAAATCATTGTAATAAGAAAAGGAGAAATAGGAAAAGAAAAGAAAAAAAAATAATTAAATAGACAAAATCCATTCCGTCTCTTTAAAAGAAAAAACTTCAAATCGCCATTTTACTTTCCCTCTCAACAAAGGAAAAAAAAGAAAATGAAAGTAACTCTTTATACTTAAAATCCAAACTTAAAATCCAAATAAAATCAAAAAATAAAATCCTCTAATCAGCTCTGTCCGCTTTTTAAATAACTCACCAGTTCTCTTTAAGCGCGGAGGTGGGAGCGGCGTCTTGCTTTGTCCCAAACAGCAAGGGACAAAGGCACCTGAGAAGCGGAGACACCCTGAACTCTGTGGGAGCACTCCTTTCACCCCAAAAGAAACTCCTTTGGGGATCTCAGAGGCTCAACCACTATTCAGGGTGAAACTCCCCTCCCTCCATTGGCCTGGGAAGGAGGTTTTAAACCGCGGAACAGCTGATGCTGTTCTCAGCGGTTTTAATGCTGTCTCAGGAGGACGGCTACAAAGTAGCTGCCATCGCCAGCGCTACACCACCGGAAATTCATATAAATTTTTATAATACGTCGACATCAATCCATCTGTTCCTGGAAACTTTCCCACCTTTAACTGCTTGATAGCTAAACCAATTTCCTCCACAGTAATTAAACAATTCATCCCATTTTGCTGTTCCTCAGAAAGTTTAGGAAAATGTACTGATTGTAAATATTTATCTATATTATCACTTGAGTATAGTTTTGTGTAAAAATCTAAAAAACTCTTTTTAATCAAATTTTGCTGAAAAACCTCAGTACCTTTATATTTTATTTTCTCTATAATCCTAGCCTTCTGTTTCTTTCATAACTGATAAGCCAACCACCTCCCAGGCTTCTTGCCCCTCCCACAGGCCTGAGAGAGATTGCAGGAGGAGGAGGGGGTGGGGGTGATTTTGGTTTAGACTGAGAAGCAGGCTGAGTCATTGGAGAGGAGATGGAAGCTTTAGGGAAAGAAAAAGGAAAAAAAAAAAGAAAAAAGGGGGGAACAAAATTCTTGCCTCTATATTTAAAACATGATCTGTATCCAACTTTTAACTTTGTTACAAAGTCAAACAAGAAAGACAGTCGCCATTTTGCCTTTTACTTTCCCTTTCTTCAAAAAGGAAAGTAAACAAAAAAGGGGGGGAAGATGCTTGCAGGAATTAAAGTCACAATCAATCTTAAATCCACTTTTTCCTGGTCTGCTCTGTCTGCATTTGAATACTCACAAGCATCCAAAAAAAGCAGATGTGGGAGCGGCGCCTTGCTTCATCCCAGAACTTCGGGACAAAGACGTCCTGGAGTGCGGAGTTGGCTCAGGCTCCGAGGGAGCTCTACCCTCCAATCCCCGAAATTATGGGGATCCAGGGGAGCTCTTACCTCTAGCTGAGCAGCTCTTCTTTTCCCTTTCTCCCAGGGAAGAGATTCAAGCCGCGGGACAGCTGATTGTCAAAGTCCCGTGGCTTTTACACAACCCAGGAACGGGCTGCTTTGTGAAAAGCAGCCATCGTAGCTGCTTGATCCACAGGAAGTCTCTTTTAGCAAATGTTAAGTGCTTTTCTCATTTCTCTTCTGAAAAAAGCTTCCCATGATGACAACCACAGAAAAACATCTGGAAACAATCTTGCTTTATATCTGGTTCATACTCTTAATAATGCATGTCTAACAAAGTAATTCTTAAATTATGTATTAATCTTAATTTTATCATGCTATAAATAGCAGTTAATAAATAGCCATCCAAATCTCAAGTCATGACCTTCTAGCTTCAATAGTTTTTTGTTTTGTAGAATTACCTACTCCTTCATCCATACGAAGCAGCATGTCTCAAATTTTACATTGGAGTCCTAAACTTCCTCAGTAGCATATGAGTTTTAAAAGAATTGAGTGTTTTTTTCAGATATCAGATTCCCATGTTGTATGTTTCATAACATACAGGACCCACTGCATGGTTAGCAAATTTTTGACAGAGCTCTACAATTTACAATAAAAAATGGTATATCAGCTTTGGAGATTAACAATAGTAAAATTTTAGAGCCTAGTTATTATATGAAGTTATTTTACTAATATAAATTGTTGCTTCTGAAAGAAATTGCAGTCTTTGAACTTCTCTAGGCCACAACTTTGGCTCTGGTTATCAAAAATAATTCTTTAAACAGTGTGCGCTGCTTTGTTTCATTGGGGAGAAACTCTGTCTTGATTTATTTAGCATATGGCATATCATACATGGACTAGCAATATATATTAACATTCCACCTAGATTAGTAAAACAATAAAATATAAATGTTAAAAAGATCTATGTTCAGATACAAATATCAAGATAATCTAACAATTGAAGCACAGCATCATTTATATGAAAAAAAATTAGATACTGGACCGGTGTATGCTCTCCGCTTACAGCTGGTCACAGTGTGGTCTACAGTTTGATATGAGACTCTGAAGTCAAACTGAGGGGAGGATACTATTCCCCATTTATATAGTGAGTCCCAGTAGATGCCATGTGAGGTCCGAATCCTATTCAGAACTGTTCATTGCTAGTGTGGTACTTCAAAGTCTAACATCTTTTTGTGGGGTCATTTATATGTCTTGCTATGTCTGAGCATTCAGCAACCTATTTGGCTTTCCATTGGGAATCAGTGTTAAAGTTGTCAGGTAAATGTTGTGCAAGTACCAGTGGAGGTTTCCTGGATTGGAAGTCTTCCGGCTGATAAATGGAGAAGGTTGGCATGCACCAATAGGAGTGAATTGTTCATAACTTGTCTGTATTCTGTCATTAATGCATCTTGGCTTTGTAAAACTGGCAGTGCTATGTGGTTTGAAACAGGAAGCCAGCAAGATAGAATGGTTTTGTGTTGATATTAGAATATCAATGCAACATACACTGTATAGCTAAAACACTATAAAACTATGTCTACTTATACTTCTGTTTGCATGCAGAGTTTATTGAAATTAAGGTTGAAGTTCAACCCCGATGGCTCAGAGTTAAAGTGCAATATTGCTGGCAAACTCTGCCCACAGCCTAGAGCAGTGGTGGCGAACCTATGGCACACGTGCCAGAGGCAGCACTCGGAGCCCTCTCTATGGGCACGTGCCATTGCTCCAGCCTCCCCTCCCCGTGACCCCCTCCTCACCAGCAGCCCCCTGGAGGAGAGTCACCCCTGAGCGTGGCTCACATGGAGCAGTGCAGCCAAGGACATGGCAGCCAGACAGAATAGACAAGACTCTACCCTCAGGCCCCATCGTGCACAATTGATGCTGCGGGGTATGGCCGCCATGGCGCTGCTGGGCTATCTATGGCGAGCCCTGAAGGTGGTGAATGGCCCTGCAGGGAGGCAGGGTGGGGCGGGCCAGGGGCGGGGCAGGGGGTGGAGTGGGGCGGGGCCAGTTTTGGGGCGTTCGGTCTCTAAAAGGTTTGCTATAACTGGCCTAGAGTTCTATCCTGATGGGGTTCAAGGTTGATTCAGCCCTCCGTTCTTCCAGAGTCGGTAAAATGAGGACCTAGATTGTTGGAGGCAATTTGCGAATAATGCTTCTACATTGCAAACCACCCAGAGAGTGCTGTAAAGCGCAGTGGAGCAGTCTACACGCTTAAAATGCTATGTTGTGCTATTTTTACCATGCAATATTTCTTAACAATTCTTTCAATAGATTTTGGCATCTAAGAGCGATTCTCATTTGAAACACCTGTTGCAACGTGCTCCTGAATATTGTCCAGAATCAATGGTAGGTATAATTGTTCTTTGTTAATGTATATTGAAATTGTATACTGTACTTGATTTCAACAAATGAGGAACTGAGATAATGTTGACATAGAAGATAAGAAGAGTCATTGTTAGTATCATTGCTGCTCATGTTTTAATATCAGGTAGAACTTGTTGCCTTAGTTCTTGGCCCAGATGACTGAATTATTGGGTGCCTTGAGTCCCAGATTACAAAAATTGAGAGCCCATATCAGGTATCAGATTCCAATGCTGCATGGTCAAAAAATGCAGCTGGTCTGTGTAAAATAAGACTATTTATGTCTAAAACATGGTAACAGATAAATATACATAGCTTATGTGCATTACTGAAGCCTGATTGGGAATTAATGGGATGTAGCCCTTTTTGAAATCTGCTATTTTAGATCCTGCAGCAGTCTCAGCACTGGAGGGGAAGGTTAGTTATGATAGTATGTGAATCTCTCACACTAACCAGGAGAACTGTCCCGGAAATTATTAATATCTCTGTGTGGAAATGGGACAGAGAGGCAAATGGTGTAATAATTAAACAGCTGGTTGGCAGTGGACCTCTCTAAGCTTCTGCACTACATCTCAAGATTAGTATTGGACTCAGTAATGCTTATTCTCCAGCATGATGAATGAAGAATCCACTGGATGGGTAGTTTCAGTCCTCCTGCTCAGCAAGAGACTAGGTCAGAACTTTGGCCACACCTCCCTCTGGGTGTGTCCTCCCAGTTTTTGACAGTCTCTGGCTCAGCTAGGCGCAAATTTTTTGGCTCTGTAGCTAGATTAGGTTGATAGATTTCATTTGTTTATTTATTGAATTTTATTTGATTTAATTGGCTTTATATTCAATTGGTTACTATTCAAAATTGGTGTAAATTGACAAATTGAGAGCTAGGACCATACTTTTTGGCCTCGAGCCACAGGCTCCTTTGTCGGAGGCTGTAAGCCGTTTGGTCTTCTGACTAGTGGCTTTCAGATCGCAATCAGCAACACAGTGGAGTGGCGGATAACCGAGCAGCTGATTTTCGGCGATTCGAGCCGCAAGTGACGAGGGCTGTTCGGAGGCTTCCCTTTGGCTTCATCGACACAAGGCTTCCCTCCAATTGTTTCCCGGCGGAGGCGACGCACAGAAACAGCAAGTGTATTGAGGTGATTCCTCTCCACTCCTGATTTCTCCCTAAAGTCAGTTTCTGACAGGGTTTTTTTCCCCGCTCTTTCCATTGTATTCTCCCTTCCAGAGTAAAACCTTCTTGGGGAAGCTTCTAAAAGGGCGCGGTCGCCATTTTGGCCGCGTGTTCTACAGGCGGCCACCATTTTGGGAGAGTAGCAAACAACGGCCGCCATTTTGGGTGTGGCCTTGGGGCGGTCACCATTTTGAGTGTACCACCAGCACGGAGACCATTGCGGGGGTGTCTCATTGTGCCTTGCAGGTATGGAGACCTGAAATTCTTTTGTTGGTCTGCCTTGTCAGCCCTATCATCGGGGGGGGTGGGGGGGTGGGAAGCTCAGTTTCATCACTCAGAGAGCTGAGTTTGATCTTATTGAGGATTATTATTAATTTATCTACTTCCTGTGCTTCAGCACTTATTTGTATTTTTCTGGTGAGTTGAGCAAAGGGGAGTTGTTTATCCACCTGTTCTAATTAGAGTGTGGCATTTGTCACAAGCCTGACAGGCAGTTTTAGGAAACTGTCTGACTATCCCTTGTCATTGCAGTTGTGCAGAGTGAGGATCGGTTTTCCATCTCTGTCAAATAGATCGCGTCTCTGGGTTCTCCCCCCCACTTCTGGATATTTCCTACTCGGTATATCTAGATCGCAATGGCAGACAGTGCCTCGTCTCAAGCATCACAGGGCTCCAGTATTCCCCCTCCCTCAACAAAGCGCAGATCCACTGATTTGGACATGGGGGGAAAGAAAAAAGCCAAAACAAAACATATTTCTTCCAAGGAGCCCTTAAAAACAGCTGAGTGAGAGGCCTCGAGGAGACTTTTGGCACTGGAAAGACAATTCGCTGAAGCCCAAAGGCTCAGGTCCAATGAATCTGAAGTTGTTTCCCTCGATCCATTGAACACCCCTATATCTGAGCCTACATTTGTTCCTTCTCATGAAGTTCTAAGATCTTGGTCTCCTAGGGGAAATTGAGCAGGTTGGTCCCCCTCGCTCCTCATCATCATCACCTACTCATCAAGGTCCAGAAGCCACGTTCAATCTAGCCGAGGCTGGTACTAGTTGTACGGATCAGGGGGACATGTGATCAGCTCAGTTTCAGTCGTTCATGCACAATGCATTCATGCAGTTTATGTTATCCAAGGGACAATGTCCCTTTCAACCACCACCACCTCCCTCTATACCTCCTTCCCAAGCAGGGCTTACCACAGTTCCCGCTTCAGGCGTTTCTGAGACTCCTCCCAATTAGGGGAGGCAGAGTCGGTTGACCTAGAGATAGCTGACATGCCCATGTCAGAGGATGAGGAGGCAGCGCCCGAACAGGCGTCAACTTCGGGACTTTTTGACCCTTCTCTTTTCAGGTCTCTACTGTTAAAGGCCATTACCAATGTCAACCTCACTTCGGTGCAGGAGGAGAAGCCTTCTACCTCCAGCCAGGAGGCTAACCCTCTGTTTGTGGAGAAGGTGGTGGAGGACAACCAGATTCCTTGTCCACAGGTTTTCCGTACCTCAGTGGAGAAGCAGTGGGCTTCACTTGCAACTCCGCCTTCCTCTAACAGTTCAGAGAAGAAACTGTTTAAAGTTTCTCCTTCATTTGCCTCTCTCTTGGAGGTACCTACTGTAGATACATCCTTGACTTCTTTATTCTCCACGTCTGCTATTCCAGGGGACATGGCGGAGGCCCTGAAGGCAGAGGACAAGAAGTTTGAACTCTCTCTCCGCTGAGCGCACCTGGCTTTGGCCTGGGCAATCAAAGCTGCAACTTCATCCTCTTTCTTCGCCAGGGCTTCGATCATGTGTCTTTGGGAGCTGCAAGCAATCGTTCCACCGGATCAGGTTCGAACACACCAGACCCTGGGAAAGCTAGTGCCAGCGTCAGAGTATGTGGCAGATGCTTCTCTGCATTCCACCAGGTACTCTGCCAGGTCCATTGCGGCCACGGTTGCCTCGTAGGCTTCTTTGGTTGAAACAGTGGAAAACTGATTTGAAATCAAAGTGGTGCTTGTCCACATCCAAATATAATGGTACACAGTTATTTGGATCGATCCTGGAACCTCACATTATTGAGGGCAAGGGTAAATGCAAGATACTGGTTCATCCTTCCAAGCGATCAGATAGGTGGCCCCAGCAAGAGTTTCGTAGGCAGGCCTTCCATCCCAGTAGTTCCTGGGAGTGGAGACATCCCTTTCGGGTGGGGCAGTCCTGAGATTGGTCAAGAGACTCGTGATCTTTCCCTTCCGGGTAGGATCGTCCGCAAGATTGCCAGAACATGGGAGCCAAAGGCCAGTTTCAATCTAAGCGCCCCTTCAGGAGATCAGGCAGTCGCCCGTATAGGTGATCCAAGTGATGCCAGGGAGGGCTCTCCCATCGGGGATCATCTGGAGTGGTTCAGCGACATCTGGGAAAGGACCACCTCCGACTCTTGGGTACGGGAGACCATCAAGTACGGTCTCACCCTGGAGTTTTACTATCACCCCCCCAAACTGCTTTATAAGGTGCCCAATATCAAGAAATGCAACCAAGGCAAACTTGGTAGCCACGGCCATCTCCCATCTGGAAGAAATTCAAGCCATAGAACCTGTACCAAGGGGTCAGGAAGGAAAGGGGTTCTACTCCATTCTGTTTGTGGTTACCAAGACCTCAGGAGGATGGAGGGCGATACTGGACTTAAAGGGTCTGAATCATTTCTTGACGTACAGAAGATTCAAGATGCAGACCCTAAGGTCCATACTCGCCAGTATCAGAAAAGGGGATTTCCTCTCATCCATAGACCTCACAGAGGTGTACCTGCATATCCCCATACATCCGGAACATCGCAAGTTCCTCAGGTTCTGCTACGCACACCAGCATTACCAATGCAGAGCACTTCCCTTTGGTCTATCCTTAGCTCCAAGGGTCTTCACAAAGGTCTTGGCAGTCTTGGCAACTCACCTCAGGCTGTTACCAGTGCGGGTGCAGTGCTATCTAGACGACATTCTAGTCCAGTCCAGTTCCTTTCAGTCGGCCCAATCAGATCTACAGATCACGATACACACTCTTCAGAGGCATGGGTTCTCAGTGAACTTCAAAAAGAGCCACACTATCTCCACCAAACGACTTCTGCACCTTGGGGTAGTCATAGACTCGGATCTGTGCAAGGTGTATCTTTCCCAGGAGCGTCGGGTCAGCATCTGAAAGCTGATACATCAGATTCAGAGAGACAAAACAGTACCCCTGGCACAGTTGTCAAAACTCCTGGGAAAGATGGTATCTTGCATGAGCATAGTTCCATGGGGCAGACTCCATTCACGACTCCTACAATGGTTCCTCCTTCCCTTTCAGAAACAGAATCTCAGTGCATCCAACAGGAGGGTCAGAGTTCCCCACCACACCTTGTTATCACTCCTATGGTGGACCTCTTCCGCGAAGACCAAGGGAACCATTTTCAAGGAGCCCCTCAGGATCACCCTAACCACAGACGCCAGTCTATTCAGTTGGGGTGCTCATCTTCAAACTCATCTGGCCCAGGGGCAGTGGTCCTGATCGGACCAAGCCCAAAATATAAATTGGCTCGAACTAAGGGCCATACACCTAGCACTACTACAGTTCTCCTCCCTAGTGAAGGGACAACACGTCCTCATCCTGATGGACAATGTGGCAGCCAAAGCCCACGTCAACAAACAGGGAGGGACCCGATCCTGGGTGCTGATGCAGGAGGCCTTGGATATGGGCCTTTGGGCAGAGTCCAACTTGAGGTCCATCAGGGCAGAACACATTTTGGGGTAGGCAAATCAACAAGCAGATTCCCTGATTAGGGCCACAGTGGACCACTCAGAATGGTGACTGGATCTGGCTCTGTTCAGGGACATATCAATGAGGTTTGGGCGCCCTCATCTGGATCTGTTTGCCTCCCCGTCGAACACTCAACTTCCCAGGTTCTTTTCCAGGTTCCCGACACGGAGAGCGGAGGGAACGGACACCCTCCGATGCCAGTGGCCGGTGAACCTGCTCTATGCCTTCCCTCCCCTTCCGTTGTTAACGGCAACTATCTGCAAGCTGATCCAGAAAAGAGTGGAGGTCATCTTGATTGCTCTACATTGGCCAAGCTGTCCGTGGTTTGCCGACCTTGTGGATCTCTCAATTTCACCACCATGGAGGATTCCCCCGGACCGAGTGGCTCTCAGTCAGGGGAATCCTGACCCTCAGTGGCTCCAGCTGGCCGCCTGACACTTGAGTGGGAAGCTCTAACTAAACAATCCTATTTGTACGGGGTGATCTCGTTGTTCTCCAGCATGATAGATGTAGCATCCACCGATGGGTAATCAAAGCCTTCCTGCTCAGATTTAGACTAAGACCAAACTTTAGCCACATCTCCTTTGGGCTTTCCTTTCCCAGTTTTGTCTTAGTCTATGCTCAGATAGGACACAGATTTGCTAGCTCCTCATTTTTTTTCTAATTTAAGTAGTTAAAATTAGGTTAGATAGTAGAAATTCTAGTAGTTTTAGCTGATTAATAATCTTTAAATAGTTTTAGCAAAAGTCAAGGAGTTAAAAACCCTTGTGAGCGTTGTTTCCAGAGAGCCTATCTGGCCACATGGATCCTAGGAGCTCTGCTGCAGAGCCGCAGCGTTAGCTCTTATCATCTGTTGAGCGCAACGAGGGAGGCTTCCCTAGCGCCCGGGAGCGATTTTATTGCCAGCGCTCTGGAGGATTCAGCCAGAGAGCCGGATTGCCTCTCTTGCCTCGTGATCACGAGGCACCATTGAGGATCGCACTGAGACTCCCCTACACTACAGAATCACAAGTGTTGTAGTGCCTTATAACTGTGGGGGGGGGGGCGAGTGGTGGAACTTTCCCTCCCCTGGTCTCCCTGAACGGGGAATTTCAAAAGCAAGCTCGGAGAAGCTGCCTTGGAGCTCGAGCTAAGGGAAGAAGGCGTTTTTAGGCGCCAAGGAAACTCGTGGCTGCCATTTTGAACTCTGTGCTGGATGTGGCCACCATATTGAGAGTCACTTTTAATTCTGATACAGGCCTATTATTTCAGTAGCCACTATGTTGGCCTCTTGAGGGGCTTTATCAGTCATTTTTCTCCAGCTTTCTTCATAGAGCTTCCATTACAGGAGGTATATTTTGTGTTTGATTCCTGTAGCCTTAATTCTGTGGGCAAATTTCCTGACCTGTTCTCTTTAGCTCGCAGCGCTGTGTCAGCAGGGCCTAGACAGACAGTTTTAGGTAGCTATCTGGCTGTTTGACATTGTGGTTGCCTTAGGGTGTGGGAAGCTTCCCTCCCAGACAACTTGATCTGCGTATTTACCCCCTTCCCAGGGCTTCTCCTATCTGGAAGGTCCAGGGCACAATGGCAAATGGTGAGACTCCTCAGACATTGCAGGGTTCTGATGTTCCCCCAACACAATCTAAACTCAGATCTTCTGATTTGAGCACGGGGGGAAAGAAAAAGGCCAAACCCAAGCATTTGACATCCAAAGAACCTTCCAAGACTGCTGAGCAAGAGGCCTCGAGGAGATATCAGGCACTGGAGAAAGAATTCTCCAAAGGACAAAGGCTCAGGTCCAGTGAAGCTGAAGTGGTTCCCCCTGCTTCTCTGGGCAGTTCACCATATGAGCCCCTGCTGGTGCCATCTTATTAAGCCCCCAAAGCTTGGTCTCCTCAAGGGGGAAATGAACAGGTCGGTCTACCTGCCCCTATCCAGCCTATTCCTTCACCTCCGCACCCTGGTCCTTCTATTTCACCTGCTATCATCTCTACGCAGGCTCCTGAAATCACTGCTGCTAGTGTTACTTCAGCTGAGCGATCCTTATGGGCTCAGCAGTTCCAGAGCTTTATGCATCATGCCTTTGATAAATTTATGTCTTCTTCCTTGGCAAAGGGGCGTGCACAGATACCACCTTCTCCACCCTTGCCCGCAGACCTCACTGGACATGTCCAGTCAGCGGGTTCAGGTATTTCTGAGACTTCATCTCAAATTGAGGAAGCTGAGTCTGGGGACCTGGAGACAACTGATGCTCCCATGTCTGAAGATGAGGTGGCTCCGGATCTGACCCCAACATCAGGGCTTTTTGATCCAAACCTATTCAAATCACTATTGCTAAAGGCCTGCACCATGGCCAATTTGGTCTAAGAGCAGGAACCCAAGCCATCTACTTCTACTGCACAGGAGTCAAATCCTTTGTTTACAGTAAAGGTTGTGGAAGAAAAACAGGTTCCTTGTCCAGCTGTTTTCCAAGAGACGGTGGAGAAACAGTGGACTTCATTGGCCACTCTATCTCCTCCTAGCATCACAGAAAAGAGATTGTATAACGTATCTTCTGCATTCTCTTCCCTTCTAGAGGTGCCCACAGTGGACGCTCCCTTAACATCTTTGTTCTCCACATCCACTGTTCCTGGAGACATGGCTGAGCACCTCAAAGCGGAGGATAAAAGACTTGAGTTTTCCCTCCGCAGAGCCCATCAGGCCTCAGCCTGGGCTATCAGGGCGGCATCATCCTCGTCCTTTTTCGCGAGAACTTCTATCATGTGGCTCTGTGAACTACAGGCTTTAATTCCTCTGGATCAAGTACGTGCACAACAGACTCTAGGTAAGTTAGTACCTGCGGCGGAATACATGTCAGATGCATCCTTCCATTCAGTCAAATTTTCCGCTAGATCTATTGCGGCCACAGTAGCATCTCGCAAATCTAGCTGTGCAGTGCTGAATGAACGGCCCATCTCAGGCTGATCCCAGTAAGAGTACAATGCTACTTGGATGATATAATTATCCAGTCCAGTTCATTCAGCACTGCACAGCTAGATCTACAAACTACAATAGAGAGACTTCAGAGATACGGCTCTTCCGTGAATTTCAAAAAGAGCCACACCACACTTACCACTCGGATCTTACATCTTGGTGCTGTGATAGATTCAAACCTATACAAGGTTTATCTCTCCCAGGAATGCAAGGACAGCATCAAATCTCTAGTTCACACGATCCAGAGGGAGAAGGTAGTCCCATTTGTCCAGCTATCGCAACTGTTGGGGAAAATGATTTCTTGCGTAGGAATAGTGCTATGGGTCAGATTTCACTCCAGACATCTCCAATGGTTCCTACTCCCCTTCCAGAAGCGGAACATCAGTGCTTCCACATGGAAGATGAGAGTTCCACATCACACTCTGCTGTCACTCAAATGGTGGGGGTCGCCAGTCATACACAAGGGGTCTCTTTTCAAGGAGCCTCACAGACTCATCCTGACCACGGATGCCAGTCTGTTTGGTTGGGGAGCTCACATACAGACACACATGACACAGGGTCAATGGTCCAAACGCGATCTCGTACACAATATAAATTGGCTAGAACTCAGGGCAATACACCTAGCTCTTCGCCAATTCTCCAACATAGTGACAGGGAATCATGTCCTGGTAATGAGGCGTCCTTGGTTTGCAGATCTCGTGGACCTATCGGTCTCCCCGTCTTGGAAGATTCCATCAGTTCACATTTCCCTCAGTCAGGGTCAGCTCCAACATCCGGACCCACAGTGGCTTTAACTAGCCGCTTGGCACTTGAGTGGGAGAGTTTAGCCAGACAGTCCTATTCATCTGGAGTGATTGCTGTAATTCAAGCCTCCAGACGTCCTTCGACCAACAGGATCTATGATGTCACGTTGAAAAATTTCTGTACGTGGTATAGCACTAAGAAGGTCAACCCACTAGCTATCACCATTCCGATATTGTTAGACTACCTTTTAGAAGGACTGAACAAGGGTCTGTCTCATAATACCATTCGCAGGCAGATCACAGCATTATCCACTGTTCTCATGTGCAAGAATCAGGTCCAGATATCTCATCATCCAGCAGTTACGGCTTTCCTTAAAGGAGCCGTTAATACTGGTCCCCCTGTGGTTCACAGATATCCCACTTGGGACTTACCAAAGTTCTAAAGGTTCTCACAGGGTCACCATTTGAACCCATCAAGTTGTGTTCACTACATCTCCTTTCCTGGAAGGTAGCCTTTTTGATAGCCATCACTTTGGCAAGGCGCATCTCGGAACTAGCCGCACTCTCGGTTAGAGGGGACCTGTGTAATTTTCTGGATGACAGAGTGATCCTCAAATTGGATCCTTCTTTCATTCTGAAAGTCAATACCTGGTTCCATAGGTTTCAGGATCTGGTTCTTCCGGATTTTTGTCCACTACCGTCTCACCGTCTTGAAAGGTTGTGGCACACATTAGACGTGCGCAGGGCTTTGCATCACTATGTGAAGTGAACCGCAGTGTTTTGTAGATTGGAGGCACTGTTCGTGTCGTTCCTGTTCTGTTCCAGCCTATTGTCGTCCTTGTTAACTTCACACCCCTGCTACTACAATAGGCTGGAGACTTGCAAACAAAAACAAAAACCCCTTTTAATTCTGTTGACAAACCTGTCAAATACAACAAACTCCAGTCCAAAAGAACATGATGAAAAGCAGACAAGAAGTTACAAGAGAAGTCACAAACCAAGATTCCAAGACGCAGTTTTCAAACGGTTGCCTTCAGCAACCAGCACCACCCACACCTCCTCCCTTTAATTAGCAGTCTTAAGGCGGTGCCTCTCCTTGCCGTTTCTTCTTACTTTGGAGGTGCTTCATTGACCTCTGTTGCCTTACTCTGGCTAATTGACGCCGCCTGCGTGCATCAATTAGCAAGTCCATCTGTTGTGATTCTTCCAAGTCTGATTCATGCTCCTCACCCAGCTGAGCTTCATCAGAAACACGACTGGAGGGCCCAGGCTCTGCATCCAACTGTGGGTCCTGTACCTCAGAGCTTCCCTCTGACTCTGATGGCCCTTCAAATGCCTCCTCCACCTCCTCCTCAGATTCCTCCGACTCAGCTGTTGGGAGCACAGGCTGGCACTGAATCACAACACTATCCCGCACTGCAGGGCCCTTCCCCCGGGTCTGCCGATCCGGATGCGGTCGAGATGGGAATTGTTCATGAAAGGCGGTCACCAAGGCAGGAGCATGAACGGTAGACGCATCCTCCCATGTGAACTCCTCTGGTCTGTAGCCTTTCCATTCAATCAAGTACTGGAAGCGTTCTTTCACCCAACGGGAGTCCCGAATGCTGGCAACCTCATACTCAGGGGCACTGTCTCCGTCACATTGTTCCGGTGGGGGCGGTTCGGCTCAGCAGAGTGGACACGCTGGTTGCTCAGGGACCAACAGAGAACAGTGAAAGACTGGATGTACCTGCATGGAATGTGGCAGAGTTAAGCGATAGGTGACCGGATTGATGACAGCCTCAATTGGGAACGGTCCGACATATCGGTGATCTAATTTCTTGGTTGGCCGGGTTGATGGTAGATTCCTGGTGGACAGCCATACCCGATCTCCCACCGATAGTGGAGGCATATCCCGCCTTGACTGATCAGCAAACCATTTGTAGTCAGCCTTGGCCATCTCCAACTGTCGCTGCACCAATCGATGGATCGCCTGTAACTCTGCCAGGTAGTCGTTCACTGGTGGTTCCGGTGCATCTAGTGGGGAAAGAGGGAAAAACCGAGAGTGATAGCTTACATTGGCTAAGAATGGTGTCATCTGCATGGAAGTGTGCTGAGAGTTATTGAATGCAAACTCAGCCACTGCCAGATAATCCATCCAATTGTTCTGCCGCTGATTGACATAGCAGTGCAGATATTGCTCCAGGATTCCAATGACCTTCTTGGTCCCTCCGTCAGTTTGAGGATGATGTGCGGACGAGAGGCGGATCTTGACATCCAACGCCTGCATCAACTCCTGCCAGAAATG